GTTTTGTGAAAATTGAACATTGTTAGGATGAACTGAGAAAAGATTTTTTTTTAAATGCCTGCCAACACTTAACGCTGCATCAAGAATTCTAAACGTATACTGCTATGCTGTTTTTAGAATTTTTGTAATTTTGCTGTTGAATCGTATATTTCGTGAGAAGAAAATGATGCATAATAATCAAGTTAAAATGAAAAAAAGAAAAAATGGCTTAGTAAGTATGAGTGTAACAGCAAACTTGTAGACTGCGAGGTCAACGAAATCGCAAGAAACCCTCTCGTGCGACCGTTAAAATCTGTAACTTTTCAGATTTTATAACCATATGTTACAGTATATAACTTACAGACTTATAACCATATGTTTATAAGTCTGGTAAATCCTAGGGATAAAACCTAGCTTTTACGAAAATGGCTTGGTAAAAGACCGACGTATGCTTTAATCTGATTCCATTTCGGCTTTTTACCCAGCTTTTGTCGTAAAATCTAGGAGTTACCAGTGCCTTCCGGTAAAAGCCCGAAATGGTATATTATGCTTATGATAGGATTTTCCATTCTCAGATAAATTGTATACAGTGCGTACCAAAAAGATTAAAACACAAAAGTGATCAAAATAAAATTGATTTAAGATTATGTCGATGGAACAGTCTTGCAATTATTTTTCAAAATGTTAAAGGAAATAAAAATAAAAAAATGCAATATTTATGCAGTTTCACAAATAAGATCCCACGTGAAAAAGCTGAACTAATGCACAATCCTCTCGATAACTTTTAAAAATAATTTTGGCAGTAATTAAAAAAATTAAATTGATAGCTCAGAAAAAAAAAAATTGTGAAATTTAAAAAATACGAAAAGTTTGGTATGTTTTGCTTTAATACTACTACTTTAATATTTCTTATTACCCGTTACAACAAGCTTGACTGTTATGACATTTTCAATTATAAAGCAGATCAGCTGATTAGCACAAATACATCTTCGTAGTAAATCTTAAGATGGCCACCGAAAAACTTTTGTCACGATCATTTGTAAAGATGAAAACTGGTCATTTGTAAAGATGAAATCCTTAGAGAACATGACAATCAATGATGCTTTAGTTGTCAATGCTACCATCAGTATCTTAATTTTGTTCTCAGAAATACCTGCTCACTTTCATAAATGACTGTATTAGGAAGACAGTTGATTTGATAAATGCCATTGCATATCATAAATGCATTGATGCTAGAATGAGTTAAGAAAATAATATCTGATGTGGACACTACATGACATCCTTGTACAGCACATTAAATTATACGCATTTTTTGCTGCACTGCATTTAAACTTATTTCCTCGAATTTCATTAGAGATATATTTCTTATTCAGTCAATTCAGTTCTCACTTCTCGGCAAGGCAAAAATAAATTAAACCTCAAAGCATCTTCATTAAAAATTGTAAACCTAAAATACCAAATACAGTTAAAACAGGTAAAAAAAATTACAGTTAAAATTAGAGTTTCTGCGCTTAAATTTAGGTCCCACTGTTCTAAAAACACTGATGGTGATGCACCAACTGACTTAATTGACTATTCTACATAGAGTTTCAAATGTAAACCAATGGCTGTCTCGTTAGGCCTAACACCACTTTTAAATTGTTGATAATTTCTACAACTGTTGCATGCAGATTAACTAAAATAATAAAAAATTAAATTAAATAAAAATTAATTAATAAGTAAAATTCTTAACTGGAACATAAGAACAGCATTATTCAATCAACTTTTAAGGCAAAAACTGTCCAACTTACCAACATATAAGAATAAAAAAACTGAGGTCACCTAGACAGGTAACAGAGTGGATGTATATACATCCACTCTTTTACCTGGCTAGGTGACCTCAGTTTATAGTGGATGTATATATATATACCCTGTTTTCGAACTAAGTGAATTTAAGATCATACAACATATATTTACGTTTAGTGCTGTCGATTGCAACGAAAAAAGGAGATACACAACTAGATGTTATAGCAGTCCCATATACAAAATTTCAACATTCTACGGCTACTCATTTTTAAGTTATGCCTGATACATACGTACCTACGTACATAAGTACCGACGTACAGAAAAAAATCTGTACTAAATCCATTTTACAATTCGTTTTGAAAAAAAAAAAAGAGTCCTTTATTCTGTGTGTACGTACAGATGTCACGCATAGAAATCGTTAAATGGATTCGAGAGCGGTCAAAATGGTTATTTTCGTTGAAATATATGATACCTGAAATCTTTCGCGAGTATAAGATTTCTTTTACTTCGTACAAAGACGTAAAAAGAATTAATTATTGATACTGCAAGTCTGTAGCATAGGTTATAATCTAAATTCAAACATAATATTATACTATTTTCTAATGATAATAGAAGTATTTATTCGTATAAGATATAATTTCGAAGCTGTGTTGAGAGCTCGCATTGTAAAATTGAGTTACCTTCCAAAACTCGTATTATAATGTCAATACAAAGTGCCTTGTGAAGCATTAAGTAAATAAAGAGAATTGAGAAAAACAAGATTTTCATATGTTAAACTTCAGTGTACATATTTTTTGTAATTAACATAGCTTTCCCATTAGCGACGCACTACCTCTGAAATGTGTTCATGCGAAATTTTAATGCATCATTAGATATTGCTGTTGTTCAAAAGGCTAATTAACTAAAAATTATTTTGAAGATTTCCAGCTTTAAACTTCAGTTACCAGGCATGGATTTATTTGTGCAACATTTTGGTACTTTTATCAAGTATTGCTGCTCATGAGAAAGTTTTTTTTTTTTTTTTTTTTCATAATAAATTAAATCAGAAAGTTGAAATTTTTATTAGATAGTGATTATATATCTTTTAATGTATGTAAAGCATGAAAGGCATTAAAAGAACTTCATAAACTGCTTTGAGTTTAATATTTAAACAAATTAAAGACTTTCTCCAAATTTTGATTTCAAGAAAACTCAGCAGCACATAAGCGTACATCTATAAAATTAAATTCACGTGATATCAGTAACATCACTAATAACTTAATATAAATAGCATTAAGTTATTTGTGCTATATTTTTAGAAACTGACATCAGTTTTGTGTTTCTTTCTTTTCCATCCTCGTATCAAACGCTTTAAAGAACAAGCAAACCGCTCATCCGTGAAATAGTTTGCACCCGTTTACTTTGTTGTTGTCATAATCGTCTGATCAGTGTGAAAAAAGATGAAACCAACACAGTGAAGTAAAGCACGAGAAAGGAAAACTACCTGCTTCCTTTCATCCGTTCTACGTGGATACACAAAACAGTTGAAGGAAAGAAACACTCGTCATGCTTGTAAGGATAGCATATAGCAACAAATTAAACGGAGAAGATGAACGGAACATGATTAGGATGTAATTCTGAAATTCGGGAAGAATATATATTACTAGAATAAAAATATAAAAATAACACTTATATTGAGGAAATACGTTACATCGATTAAATTGATTTACTTTCTACTCATTTTCCTTTTTAAATGCACCTAATCTATTTAATTATTGTCCCAACGACTCGAAATTTTAAAACTAATGTGTGACATAAATACAGTCGTTTCAATAAAAATAAGATAACGCACCATTTTCGTAACTTATTTTACTAACATAATTTTTAATTATCTTAATGATATTTTTAGACTCTTTTCCACGTTTTGCAGAAGGAAATATAGTAATCAAGAAAATCCAAACTTAGAATTTGGATTAAAACGTTTTGTTTGAAGATCTTCCTAAATCTCATCGAATCAATTCTAAGATATGTCTCGCTTAGCATAATATAGCAAAAATATTGTACTAAGTTAATTTCGTAATTTTTCATCCTAACTTCCAAATAAACATCTGATTTTGTCCATCGTATCACATAAAACAATTTTCCCATATGCATAAAAAACATTCGCCATAAAGCATGCATGGGCTATTTTGCGTGTCTACAGAGATGCATGCTCAAGTCTTCATTCTCTGATTGTCTGTTCAGCTGTGCATAAAAACAGATGTTAATAAATAAAATTAAATTGAATTTACGTATGAAATCAATCAAGCTAAACTGTTAAATAAAAGTTTCAAATTATATACAATGAAATACTTTATGCAAAATTACGTTTATTGATCAAACTCACATAAGTGATAAAAGTTACTTAAGAGAAAACGTATTTATTGATTTTGAGATAAGTTTGCCGATGATTAATTCAATTTCAGTACGGCAGATTTTGGGTATCAAATAACAGAACTACACGAAGTTTCATGTCTAACTGTATAAAATTTCACGTGCGTTGCTGCACAATGCCGATGAAATCTTACACTGCATCTAAGATAACCTATTTTCTTAAAATATCCTAAGGTTAAAAATTTTTGAATGGTAAATTTGATATGTATGCAAAAGGCAAATTTGATATTTAAGAGGGGACAATTCCACGGATTTTACCTCTGAGTTACTTTTCGAATGATACTAATTAATCAGAATAGAAGCATATCTATGATAATGAAATAAAACTGTAAAAAACCTTTTCTTTTAATCACATGCAACGAGAACTGATCATTTAATACTTTGATTTATATACAAAATTCTTACTGAAAACATCATTTGACTAGTTATAACGTTTTGTATTACAATGCTAATATAATAATTTAAAGCAATTTTATCAACATCGATGCTTATTTAATTTACTGTGCTGCACAAAATCTACTACTTCAAAAACATATGTGGACTTAAATCCCCAATAAGATGTATAGTTCTTTTTAAAGTCATCTTTAAAAATAAATTATTTACATGTAGATAGCACTATTCTGTTGTAAGGTTAGAATACTTCTCAGTTAATACAGATATAATTAATATCAAATATTTAAATAAATATTCTTTTTTGGCGTTTTAATGTTTTCTTTTTCGTAAAAAATCAGTTCAGATTTTGCGATTAACTTAATAGTGCGATATATTCAGTTTTGAATATTTTAATATTTATATTAAATATTAATATTTAAAATCGGAATTACCTATTACTGCAGCTAGAGCTGGAAGGATGAGCCCAATGGAAATCAGACATTTCATCTTTGTCCTGGATCGTCTGCTGCGGGGGTCCTCAGGAGGAGAAGGCATGGGAGGGGGCACGTGGCTTCGACGGCCATATGTCCTCTCTGGAAATAAAAACACAAAATTCATTTTCATGAAGGCATTTATATATTTCATTTCACCTCTGTTATATAAATTCAAAGCAAAAATGAGTGCAATTCTATTACTCTAAGAAATTATTACAATTTCTCGTCTTTTGAATATTTCCAGTTTACGTATAGATTTCCGAAACTTTAATGCAATTCAAAGATATTGTGTGACATTTCAATTCAGATGCAATAATACTGTTTGAAAGATCTTCCAGAGGTTATAAGTATGCACTTCCTTCTATTGATGGATGGTTGATTATTCACGAAATCATCAAAAGACAAGTGATGTGACCTTAATTCATTTTTAAAATGCTGGAAGCGTAAAAGCTTCAGCAAGCCTTAACCCATTTCTGAAGAAAATATTATCTCCTCTTAATGATCTTTCTTTAGTAACTATTTTAATAACATTTTAGTTGTAAACCTTTGGAACATTATTCATAGATAAACTTTATTTTGTCATGCCTAATTCTGCATTATAGCATATAAAATATCTGAATCTCCTATTATTTTTATAGAATTCTCATTATATCTATATTCTCATTGTAATAAAAATTTTTAATAGATATTCATCACTGAAATTTCTTATTCTTTTTTGCTCAATTTAAATTAATAAATTTAATTTTTTCAGCAATTTTTTTTAAAATCTCTTTTCAAAGCAACAGATTTTGGAAAGCGATGATCCTGTTTCTCGTCTTATTAATTTTATTTAAGCATTAACGGTCAAGTTAAACTTCCTAAATCCTTAACTATTAAAAATTATTATAATTGCTTTTGTCATAAAAGAAAATGTATGAAATATTTTGAATTTTTAATATCTTTTTCTATTATTAAATAATGAAGAATCTATGCATAGCGACTCACAATAGTTTTCGGACACTTGTGTTTTCCAATTTTATTTGATAACATCAGTTATTTCATTATTTTCATAATTCATTAATAATAGCTTCATAAAATATTAAATTGATTTCATATTCAAAAGTGCGTTAAAATTATGACAAAAAAAGTGACAAATAAATAAAAATGGTAGATTGCATATCACTTGATTACCAAATATTTTTTATGAAGTTACGGTAGATAGACCATTAAAATCCTTTAATATTTTTTTTTTCTTTTCTTTAACTATTTTAGGCGATTGCCACACAAGCGGCCAGTTTGATAAAAAAAACTCAGCTTTACGTTGCCACTTGGCAAAGCGTACAACATTTATGTTTTAAATTTAATAATCAGGAAACTCAGCGATAGAAAAGAAGTGTATTGCTACAATGCAAACATTTTTGAAATTCTAATTTAGTTTTCATTTCTTTCATATTTTGTGCGAATTTAAATAAATTTTGATTAAAAACTTAGCGATATAAAAGCTTTGTGTTGCCATTCTACAAAGCATAAAAGATTTGTATTTCAAATTATTTAGAAAACACAGCGATATGAAAGAAGTGTGTTGCTACTCGACAAAACATAATATATTTGTCTTTAGAATTCAATCAACAAACTCAGTTATTAGGTGGACCTGTGAAATTACATTAGATGAATTTATTAAAATCATTATATATATTTTTTATAATAATTATTTTAAGCTGTTGGCCACAAGCGGCTAGTATTTAAAATACATAATGTACCATTTTTACTTCTTTGTACGAAGCAAAGGAAGCATTGTAATCACGAAACATTCCGGTTACAATATTTCAACGAAAATATCCCTTTTGAATGCAATCGAATCGAATGCAATTTAACGATGTTTTTGCGTGACATCTGTACGTAAGGAGAAAATAAAGACTCTTTTTCCCAAAACGAATTATAGAACTGATTTTAATGGATTTATAAGAGGTTTTTTTTTTTTTTTTTTTTTTTTTTTTTTTTTTTTTTTTTTTGTGGCGTCTGTACGTATGTATCTTACATAGCTCGAAAACGAGTAGCCTCAGAACGTTGAAATAGTATATATATATATAAATTATTAATAATTTATTTCCTAAACTATATTTAAGATCATGCAACATTATATATATATATATATACCCACTCTGTTACTCGGCTCAGTGAGCTGAGTTTTTTTATTCTTATATGTTGATAAATTTTGCATTTTTTACTTAAAAAAAATGAATTATGTTATTCTTGTCTTGCGGTTAAGGTTTTTATGCCTTGAGTTCATCTGCAATATTTGTAGAATTTTTCAACAATTTAAAAGTTGTTAAAGTGCCGCTAAGCCTAATTTATTTTATTTTATTTTATTTTTTTACCATTACAGCCATATTTGTTTACATTTAAAACTTAGCAGAATAGTGGACTAATTCTTTATGCACCATATTTTTCTATGTCTTTCAATTTTTAATACATATATTTTGGGTTTTTATGTATTTTTGCCTTGTCGCGAAATGAGAACTGAATTAATTGAATGAGAAATATATCTCTAATGAAATTCGAGGAAATAATTTTAAATGAAAATGCATAAAAAATGCGTATAATTTAATATTCCGTATGAGGAAGTCGTGTGGTGTACACATCAGCGTTTTTGAATAGTAGATTTAACTCTTGAAATACAAATAACATTTCCTTCTCAAAAATCGTAAATTATATTCTTTACTAATAAAAAGAAGAATAAAAAGAAGTTATAATCTAAGAAATATTTAGTCTATTTACTCCAAAAACACGAACTAAAATTCCATTCCAAGTATTCCAAAAACGTAATGAATAATTTGCTTCGTGAAATTCCTATTTCATGGCAGTACTTACGGCGCTAAACGTACAGAGGTATGAAAAAGGGAAATGTTTCCACGGTTAGATATATAATATACACATTTCACGCATTTTAAACAACTGAAAACTAATTTTTACATTTCATAATGCGAGCAAAATTTGGATAATGAAACAGGAAATAATTTCATAATAACAAATGCTTTAAATAAAAAATTTCTGCTCTGTTGTGTTTCCTTGTAAAGGGCCTTGACTTCTATTTTTTTAAGCATTTTTTTTAATAATTTGAAGCTTTCAAACTCTATATTTTATTTACATGTGCAACGGTTTTGCAGAATGTATTCAAATTAATGTTTGACCTTCCATTCTATTCCATTGAAATACTTACGAAATATGGAGTGACAAATCTGACAAATTTAACCTCTAGTTGCTGTTAACGCTCTTATTTGGCACATATTCCGTAATGCTTTGATACGGTATTCCATTTAACAGAAAAGGAGAAAAAATTTCAGCATTTTTTTTCCCCTCTTTTGCTCAAAAACTAAGGGTATCCCGTATATATTTAAAAGACAGTTTTTTTGAAAAAAAAAAAAAAAAAAAAAGCTCGAAGAAAAGCTTTTGGATGCATTCATAATTTTTCAGTTTGATAACTTTGCATTCTGGTAAAATAAAAATATTGGCACTTTAGAGCAACAAACGTTTGTTGCAACCGTCGTGCGCGAATGATTCAGTGAAACAATTGAGCAGCTTATCTTGTAAAATTAAGTCTTTAAATGAACTCACAAATCTCCACATGGCATACATTTACAAAGAAGTAATATTATGCAAATTGTTTTGACTTTCCCACTTCTGACAGATCATGTTAAAATAAGATTTTATTTCTGTATTCAGATTTCCATAGAAACTAATTCTAAAATTTAGTAGGCCTATCTCAACGGTTTAGGTTAAAATTTTTGCATTAATGGTAAACTCTTCGAAACCTAAGACAGCAATCTCAATTTTTAGACTGCAGTTTTTTATTTATTAATTTACTTACATTTTAAATAAAAAAATTGCTTTAACATATGCAATTTTAGATAAAATATAATATAAATAAATCCTCAGTTTTTCTAACAGGCTTTTCACACAGAAGCTGTATATAGTAAAATGCAATGCACGCGTCGGACATCGTACATGGGCAGCTGAATATATTTTATTTATATAATTATGGTGATCTCCTATATAAGAAAGTAAACATTTTACAATCTTTTCAAAATTCGCTGAAATGCGTCAAATTATGTGGGAAAAGATAGATATTTTTAAATCGTTATTGTTTAATGCGTACAAAAACAGGTAGAAGTGGGAGAAGCACCAGAATTTCACCATTGGTCGTACAAGTATAGTTCCATTGCACTGTAAGGCGGCTTATGTTAATTTTATTAACAGTTAAATTTTGAATTAAATTTCCTTTCCTATCGATTCTTAACTTCAACTTACCACTTCCGGCCAGAACGTAGTTTTAGAATCACGTCTGAATACATAATGAGGAAGAGCGTTATTTCCGCGAAGTTCTTCAGTCTTAGTGAGAGAGATACCAGGTATTCTGGCTCCACGCGTCCACTTTCTTAGGCTACTCTCTCGTAAGCTATTATTACTTTCGGCCGTACTTTAGGCCCTTGATAGCTTCGCAATCTATTAACGTTAAGGGGCTAACTCTGTTAGAATCTTGATAGCTTTGGCTATATCTCTTTTGTTAAGATTAGTTTAGTTTAATTCTTAGTTTCTTAAGTCCAATTCCAAGTGTCGGCTTTATTGTACACTCCAAGACGGAGTTTTGTTAAACTTTAGTTGGAATAATAAAGGGTTAGTTTACCCTTGTATCTTGTTGTTTCCTGTCACACGAACTCAAGCGATTATTCGCTTATCAGTTCTTAAAATTCGGAACTCTACAGCACTAACTGTGGATTTCCATTCCAGCTCTGAGGAAGAACAACCAGGGGGGGGAAGGGGCGGTCCAAGGGTCTTCCGCCCTCTCTTCCCCTACCATCAACCTCTCGAAAGGGCTTTCGGCTGGATTTATATTTTGAATGCCTTCTTGCCGCACAAGCTCAATGCGCTTACAAATATCCATATCTTCTCCAGGATTCGAACCCAGGCCGATGGATACGGCAGTCAGTGACAAACCACTCTACTAGCTGAAGCAATAAGAACCCATAACATAATAAAAATAATAAGTAGAGTTTAGCTTTTTATTCAAAACATAACCAATAATATATAAAAAAATTTTCGATGAAGTATCTTTAAAATAT